ATGTCAGCGACTCATCATCTCTCGACTGGTGTGTGCAAGGGGAGGGGGGGGGGGGCGGCGCTGCAGCGGCGTCTCTCATGCAAAGCGAGGGCAGCGAGGGCACACCGCCGGGCGCCTGTGTGCCTGCTGGGCTGGGCTGGCCGCGCTGATGGCTGGCGGCGCGCCCACCTCAATAGCATTGACTTAGCGTGATAAGCGCGTGTGCGGGTTATCTCGGCGCGAGGCGCTGTGCCTGACGGCGGCGTCCTCTTGGCCGCGTCCTGGTTACGACGACGGCATCCTGCTCACGCTCACGGTCTCCCCCCCCCCCTCTCTTTTGGCAGTGGATGTGCCGCTAGCTGATGGCGCCCCGCGTCGCCCCCGGCGGGGTCGGCCGGCTCGGCCGCGCGCTGCTGATCCTGGCCCTGCTCGTCGTGTCGGCGGTGAGCGGCGCCCTGGACCCGCGGGGCCGCCGCGCCGCGCAGCTCGAGGACGACGGCTGTGAGGACGCCTTCGGCGACGGGCCGTGCGGGCCGACAGGTACGTGGTGGAGGCACCCGGGACCCTCTCTGATTGTTTTAAATGCTGTAATGAGAGACTCACCTGAAGAGCGGACTGCAGATTCTCCGGATCCGGAGCCGGCCCCCGCCGTGCCCAGCGTGTGTCCGGAGCGCTGTGTCTGCCGCTTCGACATCAGGCCCAAGGTGGTGGACTGCTCCAGCAGGAAGTTCACGACATTCCCACCCGTGGATGACATCCCCGAGGATGTGAGTAGTACCGCGGCAACCCCTCTGACGTACAGCGGCCAAAGCGGCATCACATTCTCACACTTTCTGCTGTTCAGGTGGAGCACCTCGACCTGTCGAACAACGAGATCGCGAAGGTGCCCCGGTTCCTGCCCGCCTGGGAGCACCTCGAGCTGCTCGACCTGTCCGGCAACCTGATCCCGGACTTCCCCGCCAACGCGCTGTCGGGGATGAAGGCGCTCGAGCTGCTGGACCTGAGCCGGAACAGGATCGTCAGCCTGCGGCACATCCGCGCCGAGGACTTTGTGGCGGACAACGCCATGCTGCAGGTGCTGAACCTGTCGGGCAACGCCCTGCAGGACCTGGGCCACGGGTCGTTCCAGTCGCTGCGGAGCGCCTCGCTGCAGCTGCTGGACGTGTCGCACTGCCTCGTGAGCAGCATCGACCCCGTCGAGGCCCTGGCCGCGCTGCCCGCGCTGCGAGTGCTCCGCGCCGCCGGCAACCCTCTGCAGGTGAAGGGATT